ATTTCATAGCACGAAACCTCATGGTTCCCTTTCAAACGTGAATTTTGAGGGTGTGCACATACTTTTGAAACGCACTGTATTACTAGTCATTATCCAGATTCCTACTTGCGACACTGGATTTTCAACTTGGATACGATTCTTATTTCCTTCAGAGCAAATACACGAAAGATTAAAAAGATGTATAACAGTAGGTTTGGAGCTTGGTTAGGGATCTGATAAGACGCATTTTGCCCTGGTATGGCGTTCGATTTGCTTCTGTGTGAATAATATTGCTACTTCATAGTTCCTCCTTTTTCTCTCACTTTCCTCCCTAATGGATTGACTCTGCCTCCCTAGCTTTTGGTTGTGACATAAAAATTGGCTAATCTAAGCTGATAAGCGAACGTGATGGGATTGATTCGTAGGTCAGTACAAGTTTCATAACGTGTGAGGTACTACATAGTCAGCGATATCAGTGCGACAAAATTGGTACTCTATGTTTTGAAGATAACCATGGGAGAAATATCTAAGTTCATCTGCAATATTGAGTTAGTTTTTTCCTCTGCCGCCGCACTGAGCGGGTCTTCACGTCCGTTAACCAACGATGGAAAACAGATTATGCTCTTCCATTAATACTGAACCACTTGACACTGCTATACATTTCTTTGCAGCTGTGAAAATTCCTAAAAAAAAACTCTAAGGTTCAAAACAAGTTTCGCAAAATGACACCCACGTTGACTTGCCTGAACAGTACGCCTGGTAATTTCCTCCCTGTCTTCTGTGACTAACAGAAGACAAGGAAGGAAATTACCAGGCGTACTGTTCAGGCACCGCTATGTCTCATGACGCCTTCATAAAGAATTTTCGTCAAAAGTACTTTAAAGTACCCGTTCGACAGGATGCGCAATGGTCAACGTGAAGTAGAAGATGAGTTAAGGCAGATGATGGCTCAGCGGATTATCTTTTCATTCAATGGTGACCCAGTCGCCAGCTACACCACGATTCTCAATCTCTACCTGACGCTGCAGAAAAGCGGTCTTACAGACTAGCGATTATTGCCCGTAAGGCTTTTGATGTGATGAGGGCAAGTATTAGAACACCCCATAGCCTTGTAGGTTTGGAGACATAAAGTTTCACTCTACATGTCTTGAACCTGAGTAGCTTTAGACACGATCTGCCCCTTGGGTTCCCATGAATCTTTGACTATGCACTATATTTACCGGTGATAGAAGTTGCATTGCGTTGATGATGTGACTTGCTGGATGTCAGGAAAACAATGAGTGTCAACTTTGCGCGCAGTAGTTCACTCACGTGAATCAAGCGCTGCGTCGCCGAGGGGTCAATTCGGCTAACGTAAAATTTTCGCAAGATAGCGCAAGATCCGATGTCGCTATGAGGAGAAAAAATTAGGAGGAAGAATGCACCATTGCCCGATAAGAAATTGATCCTACAACACTCGACCCTGCTACTCTCTAGGACCAAACTGGCTCGTTTTTTGCTACGTTTATAGTCGAAGAAAGGGCATTACTAATTTTCCGAACCGCGACTATCACGGAGCTTCTGGAAAACATGTCAAACGGTGTCTGCTGAGACATAAGCTTTCAAAGAAGTTTCGACTTCCACACCTGACCCGATAAAACTGTACCGTTCCCTTATGATACGACGCTTATCCCAGACGAAAAGCAGAGGATGGCTTTCAGGGTTCCTCACAGCATCACCAACGGAATTATACCTGCGGTTCCTCACACTATATCCTACAGTGTCAATGAATATCTCGGTTTTACTTGGAAGCCTTTTCTGAGAACGTCTTTTATTGCAAAATTTGGAAACTTTGTAGTTGGAGCTGTCATTATGCGAAATGGTGTATATCAGATGATGTGCTTTCTTTGTTGTAATAAAATTCATCTTTAACCAAGAATCAAATTTGTTATCTGCAAACACGAAATTATTTTTTAGTAACTTTATTTTTTCAGTAAAATTATTTATCTTATTCATTTTATATTTATGTGTATTTGTTATTTTTGTATTCATTTTATATTTTATTAAATTGCCTACTCTTTACTAGTTCTCACGACTGCCACCATGCTCTTTTTCGGGCAATGTCTCAACGGCT